CTCATAGTCAACATCATGAAGTCTGCTCTTTCATATACATGTAGCTATCACAGTGATGCAGAAGCTCCAAGTGTCCCATTTTCCTCCCATCCACCTCCTGAATACACCCTACAGCCAGCAAGTTTGATTTGACAAGAAGAGTCTCTTTGAGAAGCGGGGCAATTGCTTTACTTTGGGCTCTGAACCCAAAGTGTGTAACTGTATCTCCTACTGCCAGTCCTGAAGGCAGCAACAGTGAAAGAAGAGCCATTGGTTCCACTGTTCCAAATGTGCTTCAGGTCCAATTTTAGGTAAGTTTCCATAGATCACATGCATATGAGATAAAGTTGGTAAAATGGGATTACTTTCTCAGGCATCTTTTCTGGATCATCCATGTCTAGGGATAATTTCTTTTTAAGAGATTGACTGATGTTAACTTTTGATTTGGCTGGAAATCAGGGCAACTCACACTAGTCTACACGAGGCTCTGCAAATTGCCACGAGGTTTCTGTGTGTTATGACAGCTTAGCTCTTGTAAGCAACACCCAACCTGGTGTCTGAAAACTTAGAGGAGGAAGCAGGGACGGCAGCGATGGAAGCATGAAACAGTAGCTGAAATGAACAGCCCAGAGTCTGGAGGGGACCCCAGGAGACATGGGAATGTGCCGGCAGAGCTGGAGTGAGAGCTGCAGCTGAGATGAAGCGTCTGCAGGTCTTCAGCCTCCAGGGCAAGAGACTTCGGAGCCCTGACTGAAGATATCATTTGGGAACCTTGCCCAGGCTATCTTCCTTCTTTGCGCCTTTCTTTCCATTTTTAGGAAAAAGTGAGACCCCTTCTTTACACTCTGATTCTAAATATTAACTCACTTGTTTTGTTTTTACCAGTTCTTTCACTGGTGTTCATTCATTCTTTTTATTTCTATACCAGAGAAATAAAAGAAGAAAAGAGGGATCTCTCTTCTGTGCTACGCTTCTTTCCAACTTTAAAAAATCAAAAATGGGGCTTCCCTGGTGGCGCAGTGGTTGAGGGTCCGCCTGCCGATGCAGGGGACAC